GGGGGGGGGAGCAGAGGACACCAGGACACGAGCCATACCACACCCCACCCCACCCCACCTCCTCCTCACCACGCACAAAACCCACCACGCGCAAAACCCAACAGCAGTGTGGGATTATAAACAAAGCAAAGAGGGGAGGGGAGCGGGGGCGTGGTTACTTCGTCTACTATTATTCGATTTGGTAGAAGTGCCTCTCGGATTTTGTGTGCGTTGGCGTGGTTACGTTTTCGTGGTTCTCGTTTATTTTCGACGTAATGTTATGTACCCAGCGCGTAAACGGTCGGAGATAGAGCAAAGAGGTCGAAATTTTGTTCGTTAACTTTTAGTAATAGAAACCGCACTTAAAAGTTATAACTCCCTTATTATTTTTCAATTTATCCGTTACTTTCAAACCATCTTACTACCCATTCTTCGTCGGCGTCGGCAGGATTTGCCGTAGGCGTTTTGCTCTCCAGGAGTTACCCCTATGATACCCTAAAATTGTCAAATCTCTAGCTCAACTCCTCTATGGACAGAAGAAGGATGACGGACTGCTGGATTAGACTGAGAGGAGGGGGCGGGGATGTATCCCCACCGTCATTCCTAGTGAGGCGCCTGGGAGGTGGGCAATTTAATCTAAACCCAGCATATTTTTAGCGACCCTTGGTGCATTCCCCCCTCGCCCCTTGCCAACTGGACCTTAATCCTCGCCTCTGACACGGACCAAGCAGACGGGTGGGCTTAAAAGGGTGACGGGTGGCGTCGGGGAGTGCCGCGGGCGGAGCGTTTTGTGGCGCCGACTGCGACTTGGAAGGAGTCCCCCTTTCCCAAGTCTGGTGTTCGAGTCGAGCAGAACAAGAAGTTGGCCCGCCGCTGCCTGCTGCGCCCTGATTTTGATCTCCCCCCCCCCCCCCCGGGCATCTCCAACACCCCCGAGGCTGCTGTGCCTCAGCGGTGGATCGCGGCTGAAGCCTCCACGACGCTCGGGACTGAGTGAGGCAGGACGGGGGGATGGAGCGGGATCGCGTTCCAGCGCGGAGGAGGCAGGAGGCACGCACGACTTGTTGTTCGCAGGCCAGGAATCCCGCGGAGATATTGTGTGAGAGGGGAGAGAGAGGAGAGAGAGGGGGGGGGGAG